GCGCCCACCTATACCCCGACGGCACCTGTCCGTCTGACGCACCTGACCCGCTGACGCACAAGTCCTCTGACCGCCCTGTCCACGTGACGCACCGTATTCTCTTGACGCAACCTGTCGGCTCTGACGCACCTAACCTCTTGACGCACCGGTCCTCTGTCGCACGGCTGTACCTCGACGCACCTGTCCTGGCTGACGCACCTGCTTAACGGGTACGCTGACCGGTGTGTGTGTGATTGTGTTTCAGGTGGAAGGCGCCGACATGAACTCTCTGCATGCGGCTACATGTTGCTGAGGAGCGAAAGCGGCGTGCAAGTCATCGGTCGCGGCGCTGGCTCGCCCTCGCATAGCGACGGTGTACTCTAACACCCTTCACGTCGACCAGGTCAAGCCTATAAATACAATATACCGCCCTTCATCTCTTCTCCTCTCTCTACCACCGACCAGGCGGCTTACTAAATACAATATACTACCCTCATCTCTTCTACGCCCGACAGGTCAGGCTTACTAAAATACATATACTACCGCTCCTCCCTTTCTATCGCACCGCACCAGTTACACCATCGATGTGTTGCGCTACTGCTGCCTTTAAATTTTACTTGCACTACTTTAGCGTTTGCAAATGACCCTTTGATGGTCTGAAAGGCTTTTTGCATGTAACCGACGAGTTGTTTTTGGCATTTTGTTAGTTACATGCGCGCTCTGATCATTTTAGACTTGCGATGCGTGGATGACGTCAATAGATGAATGTAAATTTGGCCTCGCGCCAGGTTTGACCAATAAGCTCGCTCGCGCCGTGCACATATATCTATATTCACGTGATATAGATATATATAACGATGGTTTTGATTAGATGCATATTTCTGAGTCGTGATGTCGTGCGTCGCGTGTCGCTGCGTGCGTGCCGTGCGTGCGTGTGCTGTGTGTGTGTCGCGCAAGTGAACGTGCGCGCGTGTGTGGTGGGTGGTGTGCGTGTTTGTGTGTGTGGTGGTGTGTGAAGCTGTCGCGCGCGTGTGTGTTAAGGTGTGCGTGTGTTGTGCTGTGTGTGTGTGGTGGTGTGATGTCTGTGCTCGTGTGTGTGTGGTGTGTGTGTGTGTGTGTGTGTGTGTGTGTGCTGTATGTGTATGTGTATGTGTGTGTTCTGTATGTGTTGTCGGTGTGGATGTGTGTGTGTGTGTGCGCCTGGCGCTGCGCGTGTGTGGATGTGTGAAGGTGCGCGCGCTGTGTGCTGTGGGTGTGTGTGTGTGTGGGGAGGGGGGTCGTTTGGTGTGTGGTGCGTGTTGGTGTGTGTATGTGTGTGTGTGTGTGTGTGCGCTGTGTGTGTGTGTGAGTGAGCATGCGCGCGTGTGTTGTGCGCCTCGTGTGTGTTGGTCGTGTGGTGTGTGGGGGGGAGGTGTTTGGTGTATTCCTCGCTAATAAATACAATGAGTGTTAATATAGATATAACGTCTAGACCACACGTGCGCTACCCGCTGTCTCTAGAAGCCACGTCGGCCAGCAAATTAAAGTGGACTTTCCCACCGTTCTCGATCGGTATTCTTGGAGCTGACTCCTCTGAAATTAAGTGGCAATTTCCTATCTATTTCGATCGGTATCACTGGGACTGACTACATCTGAAATTAAGTGGAATTCCCACCTATCCTCGATGGGTATTACTTTGGACTCGACTACATCTGAAATTAAGTGGAATTCCCACCTACTCGACTCGGGTTAGTCACTTGGACTGACATACCATCTGAAATTAGATTGGGAGATTTCCCATCTATTTCGATCGTATTACTGGACTGACTACATCCGAATAGATGGTAAATTCCACACTTTAATTTGCGAGTGGCTTTTACTATCGTAGGAGTATCACTTAAGTAATGCAAGTATTGAGCATGATTGTCGAACAGATTCCCTGACTAACGTCCATTCTCGAATGCGATGCGTCGTTCCAAATCCTTTCGTCCCAAATCTTGTATTTCACACAGTTTATCTCACTCGTTCTCCGATCCTACCGATCTCTACGGATCACGTGGGTGTTGCCATGGTGATCACTCCATCGTTACTGTCCTTTAGGCGACTGCCTCACAGACGTCCATGCCACTGCTCGGATGGACAGTGTCGGCCATCGATAAATCCGACAACATCGACAAAGCCAACGTCTTCAAACTTCAGTGTAAGAAGAAGATATACTATTTCCAGACGGAGAACAAGGAAAAGATGGACAAGTTAGTATATATCCATGTCATATTTTTCTGTATATTTCCCGCGCAATGTGTTCAAAGTCACCTAACCTCATGTAAGACATCCGTGTAAGTTATCACTAACTCATACACCGCGTAGCATCGTAAAGGTCGGTATGTTGTAAAAAAAATCCCCGTTAAAGCTATGTTATACGTACATTAGCAGCAAACGTCGGTAAACAAGTATTGTGAAACAGTAATTTCGTGTTTGTCCGCTTGGTGAGAGCTCCGCACCGCGGCCGTTTGTTTACCGTTAGCATTGCTGTTATCGCTGCATTTGTTTTGCAGGTGGAAGTCCGTGCTAGACAAGGCAACAAAGGCTCACACACCGGACACTACTAGTTGATGAACTGTCGTTGTTATGAATACTGCACTGTTGTTGTCGCAGACCTGACTGGAAACGGGTGTACCGTGTCGTTCCCCAGTGCTCGACTATTGTAAATATTAACGTATAGCAACCGAACAACCTTTTTTTAAAGAAATCTTTAATCGCTTTAGTGTAATTGAATATTTTGGAAGAAAAAAAATACAATTACTTCTTTCTTGAACATATATGCTCATATTAGATAGTGTGAGATGGATGGAAAAAACTTTAGCTCGTTATAATTTTGAATTATAATTATTTTTCGTCAGCATTCTAATCGATGTAGCTGTGGCAGTGTAAAATCGCTAGTTAATTGGTAATAGGGGGAACGCAAAATTTAAATCACGGCTTATAGTGACGTACGTAGTATTCGCCATAAATCACGAATATTTATATGATAAGTGAGATTAATCGAGTTAGTAAAGTATAGCCTTCTTGCATATGTGGGCGTGTGTGGAAATTCTTGCGCCATGCAAATACTTTATTCTTAGCGACGTCCCCATGAATGATGATGTAGGGATAATCTTTTTACGGTTCCGCTCACCTTTAGTGCT